AGGGTTTAGGGTTTAGGGTTTTTACCGAAACCCTCCATAGTCGGTGGTGGTGGTAGTCGTCGTAGTAGAGTAGCAGCAGCAGTGGCAGCAGCAGTAGAATAGAGGAGTAGTAGTATACTCTAGGCCCCCCGCCCCTCATGAGGAGGTTGTTCATTACTTGTTCGTGTCCTGTTTCCGTATATTCAAGAACACTCTGGCTCCCGACCAATTGCTGGGGTCAATCTCCGTCTTAGGCTTATTAAATGGCAGGCTTCGGGCTTACAGTCTTTGCAGTTCGCCGTGATTGAGGGTGTAGGTTTCGGGATTGAGCTTCTGGGCTGTAGTGCTGCAGCACCAATCCTGTGGATTTGTTTTGTCCTAGGCCGGGCGACAAGATCGGCATTATCGGCGGCAACGGCAAGGGCAAGCATGCGACCAAGTCTATGCTCAAGGCTTCTGTGCTACCTGCCTAGGACCGCGACAATCACAGTAGAGCGATGCCCTGAAGCCTAGGCTCTGTTTTGCATAAGCGTCGTGCCCGTGTGGCTGGAAATCGAGTTTGGGCAATCCCAACCCTCAGACTATACGGGAGCTGACGCGAGAGTAGATATGACTGCGGACAGCTTTGGAGGGCTCTTCACTTGTAATGTAGCAGTGGTGTGAGGCAAGCTCGAAACAAGCACCGAAATGATGCTCCCGAAGTCCCGAAACAGATCCGCAGCATACCCCGGAGACAAGCATCCCGTCTCTGATAACTTGCAACTTTACGTGCAAGCACCCTCACAGCTGCCACTTTGAGCCAAAGAGCCTAGTATCACCTCTACCCACAACTTGACACTGGTTCTGGTTCGGCTGTTCGGTTGTCGTCCACAGCCCGAGATCCCAAGCCGTAAGCCTAAAACTCATGGTGATTGCGCCGATAACGATGCTGGCGATACCACTGTCGCTGTTCTTCTTCTTGTTCTGCTTCATGCTGCTGTTGCTCTTGCTGCTGCAGCTGCCACTGCTGCTACTGCTGCTGCTGAATACTTCTTTATTAAGGATGGCATCTATGAGTCTATGAGTTCTTATGAGGACGCTTAGTGCTGGCCATGCTTGCGATCATGGCCACGACGGTTCAATTATTGTTGATCGGAATGTTTTTCATAACCGTAGCGGGGTTCGCTGGTCTCGGTCAAGATATAGGTTTCATTGATGAAACAAGACTAAGACGCTGACGATGCCGGCCTGAAGCGATGGTACTGGTACCGATGTTGCCGCTGCTTCTGATAGTGCTGATGTTGCGTCTACTGCTGCTGCTGCTGCTGCTGCTGCTGCTGCTGCTGCTGCTGCTGCTGTTGCTCTTGCTGCTGCAGCTGCCACTGCTGCTACTGCTGCTGCTGATACTTTTTTATTATGGGTGGCATCTATGAGTCTATGAGCTCTTATGAGGATGCTTAGTGCCGGCCATGCTTGCGATCATGGCCACGACGGTTCAATTATTGATGATCGGAATGTTTTTCATAACCGTAGCGGGGTTCGCTGGTCTCGGACAAGATATAGGTTTCATTGATGACGGCAGAAGCAAGACTAAGACGCTGACGATGCCGGCCTGAAGCGATGGTACTGGCTCCATGTTTCCGCTGCTTCTGATAGTGCTGATGTTGCGTTTGCTGCTGCTGCTGCTGCTGCTGCTGCTGCTGCTGCTGCTGCTGCTGCTGCTGCTGCTGCGGCTGCAACTGCATGCTCATGTAAACTGTAAACAACGCTCAGATGATTATGGTGATGGTGATGGTAGTGGTGGTGATGATGATCACAATGAAGATTATGATTCTGATGATGATGATGATGATGACGACGAAAACTAGGGTTATGAGCGTAGCGAACCGGGTGTGGATGGTAGTGGCGCTGTTAGTATGATCACATTGTTGCTGCTGCTGCTGATGATGATGCTTACCGTACTTGCGGTGATGCTTCTTTCGAAACTACAATATTATTGTGTTTTATCATTCTGGCTTGTGCAAACAAGCGCTTCCAAGCGGGTTTTAGACCAGCCATTACCATCCGGCGATTCCGTCGTTGAAGGGATCAGGTATAGAGTTTAGCCTGTAGGGTACGGCCGGTATACTTCAGTTTCCAGGGGTTTCGATTGCAGGTTTTGTATCAGAGCCACATTGTCACATGACTCAGAGTTAGACTCTTTGGCAATCTCCCACACCCCATGCATCTCTTCTCCCTGCAAAACTAGGTGCCACAGGTTTAAAGCAGGCTTTCCTCGCAAGCCCCCTCCATTGGGAGACCGTAATAGTGCCATGTAGGGTGCATCTACAGGGCGCTGAGGGTATTGGTAAGTTTCTTCTTTGTGGCTGTCCGTCCGGTTGAGGGTGTCTAGGGCTGTCTAGGCTTCTTTTTGGGGATCCTCATCAGAAGCCAACCCTTCAACCCTAAACCCAGATAGCTAGATTCTCTAAGCCAAGCCGAAAACATCTAAAACGCATTGATCTGGCTCAGGGGGGCGAGACGGGACTAAGGGCCCGTGCCTTCTGCTGTATGAGTAGGTGAGTGCCTTGATCGGATGCAAGTGATTTAATCAGATTTCGGTTCACATGCCCCGAAGCCTAAGCGTATCTGATGTATTTCTACGGTAAGGCACAGCTCCTCTTGTCATGATCCCAAAAGCGAGGCGCGGCAAGATTTCACCTGGCGTGCCCAGGCCGTAGATGCGCCATCACAAGGCTGCCGACTGAGCGACAAGTAACAACAGACCTCGCGTAAAGCGACAAACCTACAGCAGTCATCTTAGACCCTATCACCCTATGAACTTTGAGATACTTCGGGGCCCCGTTCGTAGAATCTTATCTTCCAGGGCACTCTGAAGCGTCTCATCTCGGCGCTGGGCCCATGGTGTTCCGCGCGAGCACCTCCAGCGTCACATCTTTGCACTCCTACGCGCGGAGCTCGGATCGGGCTTTGCTTTCCGGGGCGCCGAGACTTTTAGGGATACCCTAAACCCTAAACGCCCTTGGTACCTAGACCCTCCATCTACCCTCTATTAGACCCTAAATACCCTTAATTTGGGACCATATACCCCTATTTGAGGGTACTGTACTTGGAGGGTCCTGGTAATAAGGACCCTGCACTTTCGGGTTTGAGGGCTTCGGGGACAGGGGGGTTTCATGATGTCGGAGGCATTCGCAGAGTTTGGGCTTCCGGGGCAGGTTGAGGGATCAGGGTTTACGGGTTTCAGGTTTCATGTCCTAAGGCTTATCAACCTTATACAAGGGGCCTGAATGTTTAGCATGTCGAGGCATGTTGGTGATTTCCGGGCGCAAGTCGCTGGTGAGCTAGTGATGATGGCAAACCCGCACCCGATTGCTCCAAGTATATTCGCAACCCAGAGACTTCAATACCCCTTAATTAAGGAATATACCTTAACTCTTATTAGGGATCCTACTATAATTAAGGTATATTCCTTAACTAAGGGGTATTGGAGTCTCTGGGAACCCCTACGGACTCTGAAACCCAAACGCCCTAATCCTTGGATCCTCATGAGCCCTAAGCCCCACTCGGAGGTCAAAAAGGTCCCACCCGGATCCCCGACAGGCCCTATCAAAAAACGCTATACCCATAGGCCCCATAGTAGTTCCTTTTTGGGTTTACCTTATAGGATTCTATACATGAACCCCAAAAAGGAACTACTTTAGGGCCTTTATGGGTAAGCCCTAAACCATAAAAGCCCTAAACCCTGGCGCTACCTGGCTTGTGGGTGTGGCGCTCCAGGGTTCCAATTAGGTCTAGGGTTTAGGGATTTAGGGTTTAGGGTTTAGGGTTTAGGGCATTCTAGGGCTTCCCTCCACAACTGGAGCAAGACGGAGCAGCGGCGAGTTTCGGGTTCAGAATTCAGCTTTCTGCTTCAGCTCTAAAATATATTTAGGGCCAAGGCAGCAAGCGTTCAGGGTTTAGGGGTTCTCTACGGTTGTGCAATACCCACAGCGCGAAGCGTGGCTGAAGCGAATCTCCGAAGCGAGGGGGCCCCCAAGGGCAGAAGCTGTTGGCAGACCGTAGGGTTTGGGGGGCTAAGGGCTCAGGGATGGGTGTTTCAAAACCTAGTCCTCTATGGATGAATTTGATAAAGCTGCAGGCTGAAAGCCGAAATCCGATAACCTTACCATCGACAACCTGTAACTTCAAGTTAGCTTGCAGGACAGGGAGGAAGAAGCGACCAAAGCCGTAAATCCTCAGCCCCAACCCCTCTCCCTGAAACCCTACCACGGCAAAGCTCGCTGAGTTGGACCCCGAACTTCTTCGGGGCGTCCCCCTCCATGTGTGCCTCAGCGGCTGGGCCAAGCACCTTGGCGCCAAATAGGTGACTTCTAAGTTTCAGATTCCTACTCCTACTCCTCCTACTGGTACTACTACTACTACTACTACTACTACTACTACTACTACGACTACTGCTACTAGTACTACTACTACCACTACTACTACTACGACTACTA